GGGTGCCGCCTCCAGATCTCGAGAACGGCTGGGCCGATTGTGCTCAAATTTGGCACATCGCTAGAGACCGGTTAGTAGGGTGCCGTGCACAACTCAGTTGGAGGTACCCCCTCGCAATTTCGCACGTGCAAGGCTCACCCTCTCGCTTGCTCCGTTAGTCGCCCCAAAAGGCGTTATACTGGTGTTACAATTTTCTTATGAGAGTACGACTAAAATTGTATTGGTCATGCATAGGCGGTGTCAGGGCACCTATGTTGGGAGGTAAAAAATAACCCCCCTTTTTGGACGCCTGGATCCGCCTATTATAGCAAAAACGTGTCAAAAGAGGATGCACAATAACTTTGTATATGTTATCACATGATACCTTTCATTCACTGTTCGTAAAACTGGTGCAGCATCGTGATCTTCGCCCAAATGACTCGCTTCACGAATAGGACCCCCCCCCCATTCACAGTGCTCTGGAGCCGCCCCTGGTAAAGTTATGAACTTGAAATTTTCAGGGAATGTGCCCAATTTAGTTTTAGGAAAAGTCAGAAAATTTCAGCATCGTAGCTTCAGCGGTTTCGGAGATATTCCCGAAAAACCTGAGGGGTGGATAAAAACACCCCCCCCCCCCTGCCACTAATAGGGTTAAGCGACAATGCACGAATTTAAAATGAACGTGAATCCTTCTCACTAGCCTGTTCAACGTGTTTCCATTTCCATCGCTAGTGACCTCGCCTTTAGGCCATGTGACCGGAAACTGGCAGCTAAACAGCAGATATTCTAGGGGCGCGGAAACCTTGAAGATTAGCTGTGCCGCAATGTCATTTCTAGTGGTTTTCAACCTGGCTAGATCGGCTCCATGCGCTCCGCAGATCGGCAAATTTGTAGTTAAGCAGCCCTGAAGGCACCGGCCAAGTTCCTGCGCTGGTCCCGGCCAAATAAGACACAACGTGAAGGGACCAAACACAATTTCAAATGTTGGGACGTTTCTAATCACAAGTCTGGAAACGAACGGTTAATGAGATCTGACACGCCGAATGCCAATTCTGGCCTGTAATGGGCTCTAAAAACTGGTCACAGACCAAAGGTCATTTTGGTCAGGGTCATGAAATTTTCAGGGTAGGTGTAAACTTTTAATTGCAGATGGCCTGAACTTATCCTGGCTCCTGACCGCATGGGTATTTATTTACTTATGGACTATGGTGAGAAAAATAACTTACGGCACTGAAAGCTTCGCTGTTTTCCGCCACTATTTACGCGAGTTATTCAGGAAAAACCGAGAGAGGGGCTCATTTTATCACCCCTAATAAGAAGTAGGGTAAGCGGTAACATCGAAAAATAACATTTCGTGTAGGCATGTTTCTCAATTTAACCCGCGCCCTGCTGGGGGTCCTGGATTTCCACGCCCTGCTGGGGGGGGGGGGGTGTTTGAACACCCCCCCTTGCAACTCGGCTCCTGGGCCACGTAGCGATACGCGGAAGGCGGCGTTCGAAAGAGCGTAAAAAATAATGACGAAATCACTTCGGTCAATTTTTTGGTCAGGTCAAAGGTCAGGTCACCAGAGGTCATTGAAGGCAAAATTTCGCCGATTTCCAGGTCGAATGTCGAAAGTTTCCAAGAAGCCAACGCATAACTCGGGAACCAATAGAGCTACAGCGCCGCGGAAAAGCGCATTCGATAGCCCTATTAATGCCCTTTCTGAGTAATTCTCTCAGATTTGACCTAACGTCAACGGTTTTGCCTGCAGGGGGCAAAAACTGCAAAAATAGCCGATTTTTTCAGGAACAGTTTTTCTGCAATAACTTTTGACCCAATCCTTGTACGAGCTTACTTTTACCGGCATCGTGTTCCTCTCGTCAAGACGCATCGAATGAACTATAACTTGACCTTGAAAGGTCAACTTGAAAATTTGACCTCAGGTCAAGGTCATGACCTGACCGGAAAGGGTCATGTTGCATATCAGTCGATCCGTATCGTCGAGCTGAACACATTTAAGGCGTATTCATCGCTCTAGCTTGCCTCTATCAAAAGTTATTTGCGAAAAACTGTTAGATACCATTCGTGACCTAAGATGACCTCAGGGCATAAACAAGGGTCACGGACACCATTTTCAAGTTCAGTGTGTCTAAACCACTTGTAATTCGGTGTTTGGGAGTGTTTATAATGTCTTTCATCCAAAAAAGGCGCATTTCAATTTTCTCCCATTGACTTATAATGGGGAGGTCGCAAAATTGACCTGACCTTAGGTCATCGATATCAAAATTCTGAGATATACATTTTGTACATGCTATTGCTCTTAGCAATCGCTGAAAGTTTCAAAGCGATCGGTCACTCGGTGTAGCTATGACAGACATTGAAAGTTTTTATGAGGTGAGGTCACTTCAAGTGACCTGGTGACCTGACCTTGAATGACCTTGGTCTGAAATTTTAACAACATGTGTAGAATTGATGTATGATAAGGTGTACCAAAAACGGCGGCGCTCCGCGCCGCCGTTTTTGAGATATTCGCAAAAAACCACAAGGGGGGGGGTGTTCAAACACCCCCCCCAGCAGGGCGCGGGTTAACATGGTGGGTTCTTTCGTAATGTTAATAAATGCTTATAGGGTAAACAATATTGTAAGTTGACCATGGCACGACATTTCCATTTTATTTTATCCCGTTCGTTCTAGCCCCTCTCGCCTGCCACCCCCCCCCCCCCCACACCACCACCACTATCACCAAACCGGCCTAGTTGGCTGAGGCGAGGCTGGCTAAGGCGAGCGCCTCCCCTCCCTTCATGCCAAACAGCGCCTGGCTGTCGTGACCTCTGGTCTCACCGCCCGAAGGCTCGGCCGCTGTCCAATGACGCCCTGCGCGGGCCGCAGAGATAGCCTCTGCCGAGTCCCGCCTCTATCCACCGTTCACCACGCGGTGGATTCATTCATGCCTCTGTGTTTCAGCGTCCTACCCGTTGGGTGGCACCACTGTAGTCATAGGCGACTGCAGGGAAGCCGCGGTCAGAATGCCCCAAACAGCGAATTTTGAGGTTTTCTTTTAATTTCTCCGAAACTAGCCGGCATATGATCAATTTTTTTCCATGATCATGGAAGGGAGCTATACGAATAAATCGGTCACATCTTCAAGCCTACAAAGCTGAAGACGAAAAAGATATAGCCGGAAAGGCAAAACCTACGCTTAAAACCCGCGAGACCTGTACATCCGCATCGTACATCTTGAAGCCGCTATACACCGCCAGTTCAACCGTTTGTTCAACAGTCTCCCTCCCATCGGTACGTCCGATCTCCGGTCATTCCGAGGCCATGTGCTGTGGACTCCCCAGATAAATGATTACGAGCGAGCGAGCGCAGCGAGCGAAGCGAGTCTTTTCAATATAACGGAAAAATCTCAGTATGAGCGGCCCGGCCCGGCCCGGCCTGTAACGCTTTTGAGAGGCTTATATCTCAGCAACCGCTGGACCGATTGGCCTGCGGTCTTTTTTGCTGGGTAGCCCCATCCCTTCTACCCCGTAATTGACTATTTTTGATACATCTCAGTGACCGTCGTGGCACGTGCCACGTGAAAAGTCAAGGGTGTTCAAGCAGTTTTGCAAAAGTAATTATTTTGAGAGGCCCATATCTCAGCAGCGGCTTGAGCGATTGTCTTGCGGTCATTTTTATAGGTAGCTGCATCCCTTCTACCAAAGGTCGGATACTCTTGATCTATGTGAGTGACCCCCACTGCACGTGCAAAATACAACAATAAGAGGTGCCAAATTTGTCCCCATTTCAGGAACTCGGTAATTACTGGGGCGATTTCGCTGAAACTTGGCATACAGGTAGGCACCCACCAGGCAATGCATTCCCATGTGTTGCGGTTAGGGTGCTACTGCACGTGCGCACGTGCAGGGGGCGTTTCCAGATCTCGAGAACGGCTGGGCCGATTGCGCTCAAATTTGGTACATGGTTGGGGACCGGTTAGTAGGGTGCCGTGCAAAAGTCATTTTGGACCCCGTTTGCACGTGCGCACGTGCAGAATGCCGCTTCCAGATCTCAGGAACGGCTGGGCCGATTGCGTTCAAATTTGGCACACCGCTAGCGACCGGTTAGAAGGGTGTTTTGCTGCTTTGCACAAGCCCGTTGGAAGTACCCTCTCGCCCTTTTGCACGTGCAGGGCTCACTATCTCGCTCGCTCGTTCTTCGCCCAAAAGGCGTTTTACTGGTAATAGTTGGTAATAGTTTTCACGACAGGCAGCGTCTGGTACATACACATTTAGTGCGCATTGGGTGCATATTTTGTCAAATTAGGTGTAGGGGTTTGGTCAACTTAGGTTCAGTTTGTTTCTTAAAAGTTATCAGCTTCGGTTGCACAGATGCTTATAAGTTATATGCCTCATTTTTAGATTATACTACATTTTGTTCGAATAAAACACTGAAATAATTTCATGATATGAATATATTTCTTGTAAAAAACACTTGGTACCAGGGGTGCGGAGCCGGAGCTGGGGCCGGAGCCGCCGGAGCCGGCACATTTTGCCCGGAGCCGAAGCCGGAGCCGGAGCCGCCATGACAATTCACCCGGAGCCGGAGCCGGAGCTGGAGCCGATTTTTTTCCGAAGCCGGAGCTGGAGCCGGAGCTGTCTGAAATTTCCACGGCTCCGCATCTCTGCGCATAGGGGATGTACTGAGTCGGAGCCGGAGCCGAAGCCGGAGCCGCCGGAGCCGGAACTTTTTACTCGGAGCTGGAGCCGGAGCCGGAGCCGCCATGACATTTCACCCGGAGCCCGAGCCGGAGCTGGATACGATTTTGTTCTCCGGAGCCGGAGCCGGAGCCGGAGCCGTCTGAAATTTTCACGGCTCCGCATCCCTGCTTGGTACAGATTTGGTCAAATTAGGTGCATTCGCCAGTTAGCCTGTCGTGAAAACGGCTAATATGTATGTAAGCACTTTTCCATTGAGCCCTTGTTTCTGTTATGTCAAAAGTGCTTTGAATTTGAAGTTGGTGCGTGTTTGACCTAAGAGAAATAAGCACACGTTTTAGTTTCAGATAGTTACATTTATTATTTCTGTAAAAAGCGGACAAGAGTGGTGATCATACACCCACGTCCCCAGACCTTAGGGGCACACAGACCTGCGACAGACCCCCAACCTTTCTAGTACCTACTGTTAAAAGATAAGCAAGTAATAGCCTTTGGCTCATTGTATAATAGACAAAAGAAATGGAAAAGAATATATGTGCGATATTTCGTGTTCGACACTTTTTCATGCACTGATGTTTAAAAAATATTTTTTTTGACAAGCAAACACATAAAACGAGCACAGTTGAATATCCCTCCTCTGATAAAGAAACATTGGATTACATAATAATTTCAGAAATGTCGACAAAATCATTCAAAGTCCAACAAGTACAGAGTTATACGGGCATAAATGATAACTCATGCCCAGCATGCCCACCACAAAACACAGATATCCCCTAAAACATTCCCTAAACACATTGCGCGAGTGAGGGAGGCAGAAAGAAAGTAAGGCAGGCAGGAAGGAGGCGGCGTTGGAGAACGGCGGGCACCAGACCGGTCTGCATCAGCTTCAAGTGTAAAAAACAACATTGGACAGGACTGCAAGAAGGTGAATAAAATGACACACAAAAAGGTAGACAAGACTTTTACTGGAGGGTCTGTCCTGGATGAGACGTGCTCTATCTTGTCATTGAGTTATACTGTATTTGCATGGGAGCAATCAGTTTCCAGGATGTGGCATTTTTATTTATTGATGGTTTACGGTTTCTGATCTCTAAAGACTCTGTGATTTTCATCTGTGCTGCATCCTTTAAGTTTGTGTGCAGTAGTTTGAGTTTGAGCATGTCGTTTGTTATCTCAGTGTCTGGGTGAGCATCTCTCATGTGTTCCCCGAAATGTGTGCCAGGTCGTTTGTGTCTAGCGTCCCCTAAATGTTCCATAAATCTGGTTCTGATACGTCTTCGTGTTTCTCCAATGTAGATGGCTGAACATAATGTGCATGTGATGTGGTATACTACGTTTTTAAGGTGACATTTCCCAACTGCACCTGCTTGACAAGCGTGACAGGTTGTACGATTTCCCCTTGGGCATGGTGGTTGATCCAATCCTGATCTAATGAGCGTGTTGGCTAGTGTTTTGCCCCCCTTCCATGCTATTTTGACATTTAGTTCAGATTTCTTTGTTATGTTGTTGATTTTTCTCGATAGGTCTTCGTCAATGTATGGAAGGGATATGTAATTTACTTTCGGTTTGGTCCGTGGGTGCTGTGTTTGGTTTCGAGTTTTCCTTTGGATGTTAGTGATCATTTTCTCTGGATATCCATTCGAGAGGAAAATATCTTTTATTTTCTTGATGCCTCTGTTCTTTGCTGACGTGTTTGAACCCAAACGTAGGGCTCGAATGGTTTGTGAGTGGATAACTGCGCGTTTAGTTTGCATGGGATGTGCTGACTTGAAGTGAACGATAATAGGAGCGGCCATGGGCTTGACATAAAGCTCTGTTGTGAAGTTCCCAGCTCCGTCTAAGGTAAGTAACGTATCCAGAAAAGGAATGTGTTGCTCTGGTGATTGATCAGATCTTTCAATGCTGAATTTCAGGGAGGGGTGAACCTTACTTTCTTTCTGCCTCCCTCACTCGCGCAATGTGTTTAGGGAATGTTTTAGGGGATATCTGTGTTTTGTGGTGGGCATGCTGGGCATGAGTTATCATTTATGCCCGTATAACTCTGTACTTGTTGGACTTTGAATGATTTTGTCGACATTTCTGAAATTATTATGTAATCCAATGTTTCTTTATCAGAGGAGGGATATTCAACTGTGCTCGTTTTATGTGTTTGCTTGTCAAAAAAAATATTTTTTAAACATCAGTGCATGAAAAAGTGTCGAACACGAAATATCGCACATATATTCTTTTCCATTTCTTTTGTCTATTATACAATGAGCCAAAGGCTATTACTTGCTTATCTTTTAATAATAATGGGGCTCATTTTCAAAGAAACCCTCACCATCATTCAACAGTACCTACTGTTATAACTTATCCTAGTGGTGACTGAGGACCACAACCTGTGTCCCCATAAGTCGCCTCTACCGGGCAGGTGCCTATGCCACATGAATGTCAGGTGCAAACGTCTCAGTGGCCTGGTGCTTCCAGCAGCTCCTTGCCTTGCGTAGTCCTGCTATAGACCCTAAGGCTATGGTCACTCAGAAAACATTATAGGAGCCCCATGGCCCACATCCGTCTATTCGAATGAACTACCCTACTAGTACAGGCCACATATTTGTTGACGCCGTTGGCATGCATACTCGCATGCAAGCATTCTTAGATTTGAAGTTGTTCAGGTTGCCGCCCACGCCGCCGAAGTAGAATTTTCGGCAGCAAGTGCCGTCGAAGTAGTAGCGTTTGATTTGGGCGAGGCAGATGCCCTCGTCCATCGGGTCGTTGCAGAACTGGGGCCTGTTGCAAAAGCCCAAGGGAGCGGGTGCACCAGTGGTGGCGGGGGCTGGTGGTGCGGTGGTGGTGGGGGCTGGTGGTGCGCCGATGCTGGGGCAGCGCCGCTCGCATGACGCTTTTGATTTGAACTTGTTTGCGCTATCCTTGCAACCGCGGTATGTGAATGTTTTACATTTATCTTCCGATTGACTGTAATACCAACGCGTTAACCTCATGAAGAGTCTGCATTTGCCGCTCGGTGGCTCCTGGTCGCAAAGCTCCCGACCGCAGGCCAGTCTGCACTTGGAAGCCGATTTGAACCGGTTCTTGTTTCCCTTGCATCCTCCGTACTGGAACTGGACACATTCTCCCCGCTCTTCGTTGAAGTACCACCGTTTGAAGGAGGCTTTGCAGGGGCCCTGCACGGCGGGCAGCTTGCACCACTCATATTTGAACTTGTGGCCGGTCACAGCCGCAGCGCTCAGAGCCAGGACCAGGATGGAGGCCCGCATGCCGGCCGCTCGGTCGCTGCGCTGCCGCGGAGCGGTACTGTGGCCAGGAGCCGGACGGTAGAGGTCTGCACCGGCCGGCTGCAGCCGCGGCTGGCTGCAGCCCCACGGCTGTGGGCCGGGGCGGCTGCAAATATCTCCAAGAACATGGCTACGGCTGTGGCCACGGCTGTGAGATTTCAAGCTCAATCTTAAGTACTCAAATATAAAATTTTAAATCCTTAATCTTACATTCTGATAAGCAGTCTAGCCTGTAAAAACCATGCAAAGGATGCCCAGCAACATTGAAAGTGGTGAAGCCTTTGAAAACCTGTAATGGTTTTACCATTTGCTGTAGGGGAGTTTGCACTCTGGTAGAGAATACTAATTATAGCTACCAATTGTTCCTTCATCATCAAGAGCTTGACAGTTGCAGAAAATGCAACATGTTGCATTGTCACATCCCTCTCAAATCAATCTCACCTGGTCATTAGGAGAGCACCTTACAGCTATTGAAGACGAGCGTTCAATAATTCCTTCAGGTAATAGAAAAAGAAATCAGGCCTAGGTAAAGGCAGGTAAAGGCTTCATAAAATATTATCTAAAATAACTCTTAAACGTTGTAGTTGTTGTGGGTTAGGGCGCGTAGCAACTTGGAGAGACTCTTAGACGTATTTCTGGATTTTCGCCCGGCTAGTCCAATTACATAATATAAAACTGGCGCTTTATGTTCTAACTGGTGTGTAGGTGACCGGTAACAGAAAATGCTGATCAACGAAGCCAATGGAATTAGATTATAAGTGAGCATAAACCTTACTTACGGTTAATTCACATGATGGTGAAAACCCTGAACACGTAATTCACATGACGGTGAAAACCCTGAACACAATATTTCTTACGCGAGCTGTTGACTTTACTAATAAAATGACGTCTTCTTCTGAAAATGTAAAAATTTGATACCAAATCTTTGTTTGAGAGCAATTTTTCAACTGTATAGCGTTATGATATATTAATTATAATTTTTATGGCTGTTTATAGTGACACAAACAATTTATTGCCAAATCTTTGCTATTGACGTCATTTAAAACTCAAGTAAAATTTTTGATTGAAAGAGGCAATTGTGGCTCGCACGTCCTTGGGCATTTGAGCGAAGATCAAGACACCAGCTCACAAGTGTTCATGTCTATTATGTATTGTTAATAAAAGTCATTCCCACTGTTGTGTTTGCGACTCCAGACATCTCGGCTCTTTGGCTATACACGTAAGTACCTCCCTTAGCTTTGATTCCACATTAAGATAGGATCCCACGTTGTTTTTGCTACCGGGTTCACATAAACCGGTTTAACGTAAGACTTGCTGCCCGGCGAAAATTGCCGGAGTAACTGCCCCCTGCTCGATGTAACGGAAGTTGGCACAGATTCAGCACAGATTCAGCACAGCACAGATTCGGTAGGGGGAAAAAAGGCCCCGGTAGAGGGAAACCTTTATGACCCGTTTTCCCCTAGAAATGACGTCACAAAGAGGTAAAAATGGGTATCAATCGAAAGCTCTCGTTTACCCAGACACAGTCCTGCAGGAAAATTCCACTTTTTCCCCATAGGAAAGTTTTTACGGGAAAATCAAAATTTTGGGTCAATGGGGGGTCCCCCCCGATTTCGTTCAAAATCGGCACACAGGTGCCCCACCACCAGCCGAGAAACTTTCCCCAAAACGGTCCCCGTTGCATTGACGTTTAAGGCCCTTAAAGCCCCGTAAACTCGTAAAAAATTCGTAAATTCGCCCTTGTACGGCCAAAAACGGGGCGCTAGGGTAAAAATGGGTATCAATCGAAAGCTCTCGTTTACCCAGACACAGTCCTGCAGGAAAATTCCACTTTTTCCCCATAGGAAAGTTTTTACGGGAAAATCAAAATTTCGGGTCAATGGGGGGTCCCCCCCGATTTCGTTCAAAATCGGCACACAGGTGCCCCACCACCAGCCGAGAAACTTTCCCCAAAACGGTCCCCGTTGCATTGACGTTTAAGGCCCTTAAAGCCCCGTAAACTCGTAAAAAATCCGTAAATTCGCCCTTGTACGGCCAAAAACGGGGCGCTAGGGTAAAAATGGGTATCAATCGAAAGCTCTCGTTTACCCAGACACAGTCCTGCAGGAAAATTCCACTTTTTCCCCATAGGAAAGTTTTTACGGGAAAATCAAAATTTCGGGTCAATGGGGGGTCCCCCCCGATTTCGTTCAAAATCGGCACACAGGTGCCCCACCACCAGCCGAGAAACTTTCCCCAAAACGGTCCCCGTTGCATTGACGTTTAAGGCCCGTAAAGCCCCCTAGACTCGTAAAATATCCGTAAAATCGCCTTTGTACGGACAAAAAAGTGGTGCTATGGTAAAAATGGGTATCAATCGAAAGCTCTCGTTTACCCAGACACAGTCCTGCAGGAAAATTCCACTTTTTCCCATAGGAAAGTTTTTACGGGAAAATCAAAATTTTGGGTCAATGGGGGGTCCCCCCCGATTTCGTTCAAAATCGGCACACAGGTGCCCCACCACCAGCCGAGAAACTTTCCCCAAAACGGTCCCCGTTGCATTGACGTTTAAGGCCCTTAAAGCCCCGTAAACTCGTAAAAAATCCGTAAATTCGCCCTTGTACGGCCAAAAACGGGGCGCTAGGGTAAAAATGGGTATCAATCAAAAGCTCTCGTTTACCCAGACACAGTCCTGCAGGAAAATTCCACTTTTTCCCCATAGGAAAGTTTTTACGGGAAAATCAAAATTTCGGGTCAATGGGGGGTCCCCCCCGATTTCGTTCAAAATCGGCACACAGGTGCCCCACCACCAGCCGAGAAACTTTCCCCAAAACGGTCCCCGTTGCATTGACGTTTAAGGCCCTTAAAGCCCCGTAAACTCGTAAAAAATCCGTAAATTCGCCCTTGTACGGCCAAAAACGGGGCGCTAAAGTAAAAATGGGTATCAATCGAAAGCTCTCGTTTACCCAGACACAGTCCTGCAGGAAAATTCCACTTTTTCCCCATAGGAAAGTTTTTACGGGAAAATCAAAATTTTGGGTCAATGGGGGGTCCCCCCCGATTTCGTTCAAAATCGGCACACAGGTGCCCCACCACCAGCCGAGAAACTTTCCCCAAAACGGTCCCCGTTGCATTGACGTTTAAGGCCCTTAAAGCCCCGTAAACTCGTAAAAAATCCGTAAATTCGCCCTTGTACGGCCAAAAACGGGGCGCTAGGGTAAAAATGGGTATCAATCAAAAGCTCTCGTTTACCCAGACACAGTCCTGCAGGAAAATTCCACTTTTTCCCCATAGGAAAGTTTTTACGGGAAAATCAAAATTTCGGGTCAATGGGGGGTCCCCCCCGATTTCGTTCAAAATCGGCACACAGGTGCCCCACCACCAGCCGAGAAACTTTCCCCAAAACGGTCCCCGTTGCATTGACGTTTAAGGCCCTTAAAGCCCCGTAAACTCGTAAAAAATCCGTAAATTCGCCCTTGTACGGCCAAAAACGGGGCGCTAAAGTAAAAATGGGTATCAATCGAAAGCTCTCGTTTACCCAGACACAGTCCTGCAGGAAAATTCCACTTTTTCCCCATAGGAAAGTTTTTACGGGAAAATCAAAATTTCGGGTCAATGGGGGGTCCCCCCCGATTTCGTTCAAAATCGGCACACAGGTGCCCCACCACCAGCCGAGAAACTTTCCCCAAAACGGTCCCCGTTGCATTGACGTTTAAGGCCCTTAAAGCCCCGTAAACTCGTAAAAAATCCGTAAATTCGCCCTTGTACGGCCAAAAACGGGGCGCTAGGGTAAAAATGGGTATCAATCGAAAGCTCTCGTTTACCCAGACACAGTCCTGCAGGAAAATTCCACTTTTTCCCCATAGGAAAGTTTTTACGGGAAAATCAAAATTTCGGGTCAATGGGGGGTCCCCCCCGATTTCGTTCAAAATCGGCACACAGGTGCCCCACCACCAGCCGAGAAACTTTCCCCAAAACGGTCCCCGTTGCATTGACGTTTAAGGCCCGTAAAGCCCCCTAGACTCGTAAAATATCCGTAAAATCGCCTTTGTACGGACAAAAAAGTGGTGCTATGGTAAAAATGGGTATCAATCGAAAGCTCTCGTTTACCCAGACACAGTCCTGCAGGAAAATTCCACTTTTTTCCCATAGGAAAGTTTTTACGGGAAAATCAAAATTTTGGGTCAATGGGGGGTCCCCCCCGATTTCGTTCAAAATCGGCACACAGGTGCCCCACCACCAGCCGAGAAACTTTCCCCAAAACGGTCCCCGTTGCATTGACGTTTAAGGCCCTTAAAGCCCCGTAAACTCGTAAAAAATCCGTAAATTCGCCCTTGTACGGCCAAAAACGGGGCGCTAGGGTAAAAATGGGTATCAATCAAAAGCTCTCGTTTACCCAGACACAGTCCTGCAGGAAAATTCCACTTTTTCCCCATAGGAAAGTTTTTACGGGAAAATCAAAATTTCGGGTCAATGGGGGGTCCCCCCCGATTTCGTTCAAAATCGGCACACAGGTGCCCCACCACCAGCCGAGAAACTTTCCCCAAAACGGTCCCCGTTGCATTGACGTTTAAGGCCCTTAAAGCCCCGTAAACTCGTAAAAAATCCGTAAATTCGCCCTTGTACGGCCAAAAACGGGGCGCTAAAGTAAAAATGGGTATCAATCGAAAGCTCTCGTTTACCCAGACACAGTCCTGCAGGAAAATTCCACTTTTTCCCCATAGGAAAGTTTTTACGGGAAAATCAAAATTTCGGGTCAATGGGGGGTCCCCCCCGATTTCGTTCAAAATCGGCACACAGGTGCCCCACCACCAGCCGAGAAACTTTCCCCAAAACGGTCCCCGTTGCATTGACGTTTAAGGCCCTTAAAGCCCCGTAAACTCGTAAAAAATCCGTAAATTCACCCTTGTACGGCCAAAAACGGGGCGCTAAAGTAAAAATGGGTATCAATCGAAAGCTCTCGTTTACCCAGACACAGTCCTGCAGGAAAATTCCACTTTTTCCCCATAGGAAAGTTTTTACGGGA